TAGTTAGAGGTGCCCTACTGCCCTGGGGTCCTCGCATTCTAAAAATGACGGGACGATGCCCGGTTTTCGCCGAACCAGACAAAGTTTCACCCAAGGGATGAAACTGCGATATCGTCATCTTCCTTACGGTGCAAAACCGGATATGCCATGGGTCTTGCATAATCCAACCTGTGCTTTCCCACAACAGCTGCCGTGGCTACCGCCCGGGAACCGCTGGTCATCTGCATCACTTCTCGCCAATGTAGGCCAAGCATATACCCAAGCATGTAAAGTGTCGTTCGTCTCTTCCCGGCTATTCCATGCCTCAATCTTCTATCTTGTGATTTTCTTCTATTTCCCTCGGCTCAGTCGTGTACATCATCCCTCCTTGTCGTAAAATGGACTACAGTATACAACAACCCGGTCTTCGCACTCGGAGCGGCATTCGCAATTGAACTGGCTTTCGTCTTGGTCTACCTTCCTAATCTTGGTCTGCTAGTTTCTCCAACGTCCGATGTCTCCAGCCCAAAATTTGACCCTCAACTTTGTCCCTGCTCTGTTGTCCATGTCGGTACTCCTTGAACCCTTCTTTCAAAACAATGTTCTTACGGGAGGTCTTCCTGTGAGGCTGTGTTTACTTTTTGATGTAGAAAACCCCCATGTCCCTGTCTTTCCCGTCGATTGGGCTCTCTCTCTCGAAACCATTTGATATGGTTGAGTGGGGGGGGGGGGGGGCGTCCATACTGAAACGAAAACACAACACAGTCGGTGGATCATTCGTGAGAAGTGTGTGGGTGTGGGTGTGGGTGTGCGTTCGTCCAATTTACGAGTACATGTCAACCGGGGTCACACAAGAGGCTTTTTTTTTGTATTTTCAAAGGACAATACGAATCCATCTCTTACATTCATGACAAACAAAAAGAGTCGAATATACACCGTAGATCAGCAATGTCAGCGGAGGCTAGAGGCTACCTGTCTGCCACTTTTGTGACTTTTTCAAGGACACAGCACAGGATCCATGAGAAGATTGTAAAATCTTCTTACGGTAGTCCGGCCCATCCCCTTCGAAGTCCTACCGCTTCCAGACAAAAAAAAAGACAAGTTTTTGTGGTTGCGGTGTTATTATCCGTCCAAACTAACGCGACCCGGACGCCATCCGTGGTGTGGGTCATATGCATAGGCCAACCACCCGAAAAAAATGTACAGCGTGACAGCCTCTATGTACAATTTCAACAGTCTTGGTAGTCTTATCCGAGACAGAACAAGAGGGAGGAACGAGAAAAACTTGCAGAAACAAATTCGCCACACGGCAGCACATTTTACACCTAAAACACCTTCGTGGAAGTCCGAGAAGGGTAATTTAAAAGCCTGCATGCAGCATAGAGCTACTGTTACACACGCGTTTGCTTACAAAGGGAGCTTACGAGGGTGTCCCTTCACACAAACAGAAACAATTTCAAACGAGCCGGGGCGACATTGGCCCTCATACCTTGGCACTCATTTCTTGCTTCCGCCAAGAAATTTGTTAGAAAATACACCGCCATGCGACAGGCACCACGTAGGAACTGCAACGTGAGGTGGGAACGTACGCTGGACAGGTGCGCACATTCCATGGACAACAACGACCCCACATACGCGTGAAAAAATAATCAGAAACACAAAATGAAGAAAGTGAAGGAGAATAAGGTATTCCACTTACGGTGTGAAACAAGCGAATGCTTGTGATATCTCCAATCCTTAGTTGGCATTGACATGAAGTGAGGGGACTGTGACACACGCCGAGGCTGGTGCGAGTGAACAGGTGTAGTAAGTCGGGTTTCTTTTTGGAATACACACCAGACAAATACATATACCCGTTGCCCCGGTGGTCTAGTGGATACCCTCGCCGCCTGCTAAGGGCCAGGTCATGGGTTCGAGTCCCGGCAGAGGGAGTTTTTTCTCACTAAATTTATCCTGGTCTGGGATGAAAGCGACGCGCTGCAAAGCTCGTTATTGGTAAACCATAGTCGACTTCGTGAGTCGCGAGGGAAGGGATTGCTGTACCCTTCTCGCGATAAAAATATCTCAGGCAGGAACCGTAGAGGGGGGTCCAAACCCCCCGTCCTATGTGACCCCAGTTGGGTCGTCTTGCTGGTAGAAGTGGAGGATAGGGGCCAGACGACAGAGTTCAATGATGGGAGAAAAAAAATACAGTAGTACTTGTATACAATATATGCATATGTGTGTGTAGATTCTGCCACGGAAAGATTGAGATTTGGGGGGGTGCTCCGTGCTTCCACATCAGTGTATGAAAAAACAGACGCATGCCATGATGAGTACGTGTAGTCTAGGGACAAACGTAAGATCAAAGATTCCACTTGTGCGTTGCGATTCCCTGGTGTGGCGTGATCCCCCCTCTTTGCCAGATGCAGCGTCGTCTTATGCATAGAAGGAAGGCCACGTTTCTCCGCCCCACCCGCAAGTTGGGGTGACGGGGGGAAAGAACATGACCACAGCAGAGGAGCATATGAACTTATGAGACGTCGCCCACTGCTGTTCGCCACTGCAAATTCTCTAGCCTGCCGTCAGTAATCATAGCAGAGACATTTGTCTCTCGCATTTATTCATCTCTTCTGTCACGAAGATGATGTGTCCTGTGGAACATTGCACGCCTGTGGAAAGGTGTGTGCCTGCTGCTGCTGGCTTCTAGCCCCCATCCTTCTCTACTTCCTACGTCTTCATCACCGCAAACGCGTGCCCACCCGCCTTATTCGTTCACGACCTTGAGTAGAGTCTAATTTCCAGTTGTTGGTCTCTTCGGCAGCGTGAACAGAAAAAATTCGTCTCTCGTCTCTGGCCAGTGGGTTGGGTTGTACTGCCTTCTTGCAACACAGGGAACTGGACCTTACGGACTGGAAGCAGCAGAAGACCACCACGCAACGACATAAAATAAGAACTTGACACCCACGATGAGCAAGCGGGCTGTCGCCAAGCGGTTGCCAAAGAGCAAGAGAGAACGAGAAACCAAGCGGCAGCGCATGCGAGGGCACGTACAAATCTTCTTCCACACGCACGCTCTCTCCTTACCGATTTTTCTTTGCAGATGCTCCTGATGCAGCAGAAGATGAGCAGTGCACCGACCACAAGCCCCGCCACGAGCCCGATCACGAGCCCCGACATCTCTCCGGTATCCTGCCCCACACCACCAAAGCAACCTTCAAGACGGTTGCTACGGATGGATTGTCCGTCTCCTCGCTCCGATCCGTTGTTGCTGGTTGTTGTTGTTGTTGGTGTACTTGAACCGTTGCGGGAGATACGGAAATCACCGAACTAGCAGTAGCCTCCTTCTTGAAGTAAAGCTTTCCCTCTTCCCGTCTACTGCCTCAGTTAAAAGCGTGGTACTGCAAGAAATCACACGATCAGATGATGGGGTAAAGGTTCGAAGACAGAAAAGCGTGGTTGGTGGCTGGCGCGTCAGGGGTATGGGATTTCGATAACCTGCCTACGGGTGACGCCACCCCTGTGTGGCGCTGATTGGCGTCGTCAGAATCGGAGATTTGCAAGAATTTTTCATGCATATGGTGGTCTCTGCGGCGACACTTTTTCGTGCACTTCCCGGGGCCTACTTCCCGAGCTGGTACGCTATAGATAAAGAGCGCAAGCAGGAGTGTCTGCGATACGAGCGGCGGTCAACGGGCATAATTTATAGCCTACAGTAGTTGGATGCGCGAGGTTGGTGGGTCTATGACTTGTGACGATCTGTGCACAGGCAGGACGCAGGACCCGTTACATATCCCGGTATAGCGTTTGTCTGTTGTCTAGATAGTTAGTTGTCTGTTTGTGTTCGTCGCAATCTCGCCGCGGCCCCACGGCCAATAGTGTAGCCCAAAAGACGCTGTGGGGGAGAAAATCTATCTGATACACCCATTGGGGACCCACATGAGCCATGCAACCCCACCGTTTCTTACCGACAGAACCACCCAACCAAGAGCAACCTACGCCCACACAACCTAGCACCTACTCGCGTTAACATCAACCTAGCACCTATCCAAGCACACCAACCTAGGTCGTTCGCATTGAACCTAGCACCTATCCATGCAATGCCAACCTAGAGACTATCCCATCAATACCAACCTAGCGCCAAATGCTGGCACACCAACATAGAACTGAGCCGCCCAAGGCCAACCTAGCCGAAATGCCGGCACACCAACATAGAACTGAGCCGCCCAAGGCCAACAACCTAGAACTGAGCCACCCAATGCCAACCTAGCACCTATTGGGTCGGTTTGGGGTTAGGGTTAGGGTTAGCGTTAGGGATTTAACGAGTTTGTGTAGTTGCTATTTGGAGGGACAGCAAACCGCGCCTGCCTTGTACATGTAGTAGAGCGACTGGTTGAGACGTGAAAACGCACATGTTCTTGACGCTCGTTCCTCCGACAAGATATTAAGGAGAACTAAATACACGTACAGAAAGACTACCCATTCGAGATATACCCACAGTCGAATGGTGGAGTCTTTTCAGTAAGTGGAGGAAAACCGGCTGGGTACTGGACTTATTCCGAGTCTTTATAAGTCTATGCACTGATGATTTATCAGTGATGCCAGCTGGTGCTAAGTACAAAAACATCTGTATAGGTAAATCTACATTTTACAATACATCCCCTGTAGTTCTCTACTGGGTCAACGACAAAATATCGGGGAGAATCCCACCGTAGCGTCGTGTACTGTAAGATGTAACCTTCACAGGGGACACGGCGCAGTGTCTATTGACAGCTTGCTGGTTTTAGGAATTTAAGGAGAAATATATAATATTGATGTAAAAAATCATGGAAGATGGAAAGAAGGCTACATACAGCAGTACATCACTCGTTTTTCAAACCTATAGATTTTTGAATTTCACGGGCAGCAGAGGTGTTTCCCGCCGTTTTTTGAATTTACAAAAAAAACTATTTGACCCTTTCTTTGGGTTAGCGTATCAATGATGCTTACAGTAGAAGAGAATGGAACACCTGGTGCATGGTAGGTAGGGCATACATAGCGTTCAGTTTGTATGTATCGTGTTAGCTGGTTTCTTGTTATGTTTGGTGTTGGTAATCAACATCAGTAGAGCACGGAAAGTGTTCAAATGATATACATCCAATGTGGCGANCTTTGGGTTAGCGTATCAATGATGCTTACAGTAGAAGAGAATGGAACACCTGGTGCATGGTAGGTAGGGCATAGCGTTCAGTTTGTATCGTGTTAGCTGGTTTCTTGTTATGTTTGGTGTTGGTAATCAGCATCAGTAGAGCACGGAAAGTGTTCAAATGATATACATCCAATGTGGCGATTGTTGTCAACTTCCCTGGTGTTCCTCAGAGCGGTTCGCCGAGACCTCTTGTCGCAACCATGTCGTAATCCCGTTGTAGAGCATCCGTCATGAAGGTCAGCAGTAGCAGCGAGTGGCAGTTGGTCTCTCCGTGTGGAGTAGTGGTGTGGACATGTTACGGAGTACGGCGAAGGATATAACACGTAGAAATTACCCACCTGGATACACAGCGATCAGCAGAGGAGAAGACGATGTGTGTGTGTCAGCCGCGAGGTCAATATGGGAGAGCACCTTTGCACGAAACCCGATACAGCCTTTCCGCCTTGCCTCAAGTCCTATCGGAGGGGCTAGTTATGTGGTACGACGGCAGGGATCCGAATGCCGGCTGCTCCGAACACAATAGGAGGCTTGCGGTAGGGATCAAACTGGGAATGTGCGAAAGGGGCTTCCCGACCATGGGCTCAACTGCAGATTTGGAGGCCATCGAGGTGTTGTATTTTCACCTGGTCATGTGACGTCATTTGGTCTACGTTTTAGAAGAAATTTCACTTGGTCATGTGACGTCATTTGTGGTCCGAGATTAGAAGNCGGTCTACGTTTTTGGAAGAAATTTCACTTGGTCATGTGACGTCATTTGTGGTCCGAGATTAGAAGAATTCGGTTGCATGCAGCAATGCAGCAATGATATTTTGCAAGGGACACGGGTCACTGTGTTCCCCCTTGCGAATGGATAATTAGGCAACTCGTTGCCGTTCTTATCCATTATCCATTACTCTACTGTCAAGTGTCGTAGTTTTGATGTTTCAAATTTTATTTTCTCGGGATTTCCTGTAAGAACTCATCCACACTGCATGTCCTTTCTTGCAAGGAGTACCCAATAAAATCGTGAGCTCCATTCAACCATCCTCATGTCTCTTTAAAGGAATGCCCGCCCGACGGTGGCTTGCCTCCTATATGTAGTAGATGTAGATTCTGCCGTAGACACTCTTGTCCACGAGC